GAAGACGCCTACGGCGAATCACCGCCGCCCACTGCCCTTGCGGAAGCGCCTATGTGACCGACGGGCCAGTTGTTCACCGAGTCGGTTTGGAGAGCCTTCAGGGAACGCGTGGGGGAGCAAGAGGTTTGAACGCGCCCATGTGTCTGAGCGTTGTGGCAAGAGTTCTGCCATGCTATCGCACCATATGCTCCCAAAACCGTTGTGTAAATCCTTCGGGAACATTTGCGGGACGATGGCGGGGAAGATCAGGAGGAGGCGGAGGAGGAGGAAGAGGAGGAGGAGAAGGAGGAGGAGGAGAAGGAGGAGGAGGAGGAGTAGCAGGAGGAGGAGGGGGAGAAGATGAGGAGGAGAGGAGGAGGAGGAGAAAGAGGAGGAGGAGGAGGAGGAGGAGGAGGAGGAGAAGGAGGAGGAGGAGGAGAGGAGGAGGAGGAGGAGGAGGAGGAGGAGGAGGGGGAGAAGAGGAGGAGGAGAGGAGGAGGAGGAGAAAGAGGAGGAGAAGGAGGAGGAGGAGGAGGCGGCGGCGGCGGCGGAGCGATATCGGGCCGAATGTCTCCCTGACCACATAGCACAACTCAGCGAGAATATTACACTATGTGCGACCTATCGTGCGCATGAGAATGCGATATACGGATGGCCTCCCCCCCCTGGCAGGTGGGAGCCCCAAGTTGTCCTTGCTCAACCACGGTTCACGGCGAGCGACGACTACGAATACATTTCACACAAGACGGCCCCAAGGCGGACCCGAGGCCAGGAACAAAGGCAGCCCAAATCAAAAACGGGTCGCATAAGCGACCAGGTTTTTGAAGCTAGGAGTCGAGGACGGGCGAGGAGGGAGGCTCGAAGGACGAGGAGGAGGAGGAGAAGAGGCAGCAGCGGCAGCTGCGCCACGGGCTGCCTCCTGGAAGTCAGGCCTCACGGAGCCCCCGTACTCAGACGACCCAGCAATCCTCCTCGCCGCGGTCGTCCCGCTCCGTCGGGCACGACTCTGCGAACTCACACTTGCACTCTGTGGTGTCGGCAACTTCACTGAACCCCTCGGCGCCATCGATCCCGACGGCGACACTGAAGCAGGCCTGGCTCTCTGTGATGCCGCCAGCTCAATCGGAGAAGACGCCCTCAACTGCACACGTGAGGCTGCCGATAGGAGATATTGCACTGCCTCCCTCCTCACGATGCCCTGCTCATCCTGAGAACTGCAGTGCCTCGACTCCCCTTCGCCGTGCACGATGCCCATTTCATCATGCAAAACTGGCGACGCTGATGTGGCGACGACATTGCCCAGGCGGCTACCTCTGGGACTTGCGACCTGACGCTTTCGGCTGCCTTCAAAACTCGGCGACGTAGCCCAGGGAGCCAAGTCTGGGTCTTGCGAACTGACGCCAGGCGCTCTAACGCCACTCGCGGTCACAGCTCCATCTCGTCCAACGCTAGCTGCAGCACCGTCTCGGCGTGTGACCTTGGGGCCATGCCTGGGCGCACTTCCCCTCCGAGCTGCTCCACGCACTCCTGGAAGACGCGCTGCATCTGTGGACCTGCTAGGCTGAACACCACCTTCGCCAGGCCCTCTCGAAACGCACTGCTCACGCGGAACCCCTTGACCAGGCAGGTCATGTCCGCAATCGAGCTGAGGCCGTCTAGCTTCAACTGCTGCTCCGTCCAGGCCTTCGCGTTCCTGGCTCCAACCTTCCCGCCTGCGTCTGTGAGCTTGCGCGCCACCACCATGAAGACCTGTACGCATGCTGGCCCCATCGTCACCTCGGGCAGCTCGTTGTTCGTCGGGTCCTGCTGGTGAGCCTCGCGCATCCTCGCCGCCTCGACTGCGTACGCACTGCCAGCAGTGAAGCCCGCCTTGATCAGGTCCGCCTCCTCGTCCATCGTGATCGTCACGAACTCGGCCGCCAGCAGGAGGCGGATGTTGAAGGAGTTGCCCAGGACCGCCCTCGTGAGTATCGACACGAGCTTGGCGCACATCTGAACATCCATAGGTGGGAGTTTGTCTATGGCATCGGCTGGCAACCCGTACGCCTGGCCGACCTTCGTGCGCGCATCTGCGGGAGGCCCCCCCACCGTGGGCGGGGGCCGCAGCCTGGAGCTGGCGAGGGCCGCGCCGCACGGGAGCCGCGCTGGCGGGCTCGGCCTGCCTGTCCTGCCGCCGACGACCTCCACGCTGCTGGGAATGCACTGCCGAGCCAGAGCGGCCCCTGCGAGAGCCCCGCCCGCCGCCGTGCGACCTCGAGCGTGGAGCTCCTGCCGCCGCCAGCTGCTCTGCCCCCAGGCGGTACATCTGAACTCACGCAGGTGATCGGCACTCGAGGCGCGTGTCGACGCAAGTGAAGATTGAGAGCAGCTCGATCCTCAAACGGCTCCGTATAGTTACAGCAATACTCCGTGCTGGCCTGGGGATGTATCGGGCCATAGACACAGGCCAGCGTCAACTCGGACAGGGGACACGACAGACTCTCTGGCTCCATGACACTGTGATGGAAAGGCGTGGTCAACGGAGGACAACGACCCTTAAGGACAGCTTGTACAGCGTGCTCCTGGGCAATACGTCTAGTTCTGAACCCCTGCCTGCAAAACACGCACTCGTTGGTCACAATCAAGGTGTGCACGACCGAACGACAAGAGTGCCCACCTCCTTTAGCAAATCGTTGATGAGCTAGCATAGCACGACGAGTAGTAAATATCCTGCCACATGGGACCCCCTCTGAGTTCGGCAACGTACACTCCCAGATAGCTGCTGGTGGTGGGGGAACCTCAAGATCACCTTCAGGAGCCTCTGGAGGTACGGGAGGACCATACAGACCCACAGGAGGAGGAATAGTGACGGTAAGCGTAGCAGCTCTGAGGATCCCAGGATCGAGCGCCAAGAACTGCTCCCGAAGATCCCCATCCATGAACAAGGCCCGCACGCATAGCCTAAGAGCGGGGTCTGACGAGGGGCCAGTGAAGAGCCAGGACTCCAAGAGCTCGGCCTCAGACTTCTTAACCAGGGCCAGGACGTCGGACGCGAAGCGCTTGGCATATGGGTTCGACTGGTGCTGCAACCATCCCTGCTCGCACAAAGTCGGATGAGACTCGATCGGCAGCTGCCCGAAGATCGCACCCAACTCCTGTGGGTGCCGCTCGGGATGTCTCACCCATCTCTGGTACTGCCTCAGCCTGCGCACCCTGAGCTCGACACTCGACGGGGCCACCCCCACTCGACGGAAGTCAACGACATCGGTGAGGGCCCTGTAGCGAACGACGGGGTTCCCCTGCGAGTCCAAAACCACGTTGCCCTCCTCACCCTTCTCCTCCACCTTCTGACACGCATCTCCTCCGAGCAACTTCCGAGCAAAACCGACGAGCACCCTGTCCAGACGAAGCTCCTGAGCCTCCGAACGCACCAGCGTGGTAAGTCCTGAAAGCAGAGCACCCTGTACAACGGCCCCGAACACGATCCTCGTAAAGCGCCACACTCGATTTCTGGTCCAGAAACGTCCCATGGAGTAGTACCCCCTCCGACACGCCTGAATCCTTCTCTGCAGTTCTCCCTGGACCCCTCCGTTCACCGCCGTCTGAATACCCAACGCAATATTGTCAAACTGCACCTGTCCAGGAAGCCGAATATATCCCCCAAACACAACAGCGTTGTTGTCTTTCGACCCTGGACCGACGAAGGATGGTGATCTGCAACTTTTCCCAGCATTGTGAGAGTAGCCGTCTTTGGCCAACGAGTCTCGAAGATGGACGTGTGCCTGCTCGAGCGTGTACTTGGCGTTCCTGGCCGTCGTCACAATGTGGGTCTTGTTAGTGTCGTCCGCATGTATTCTGCAAGATAAGTCCACGGGCCGCTGCAAGATGGGAACCCATGCCGTACATATGGCCTCACTCGGCCACAAGATCTGATCGGGATCCGCTGGAGGCGACGGCGGCACCAGAGCCTGAGAAGCCCACTCTGCATGCGTCTCGGGCCGAGGAGGGGGAGCACCACGCCACGTCTGCTCACGCAGACGGTCCGTCCACTCCTGTATGGGAGATCGGAACGTGCGAGCGAAGAACACCGCCGCGGGGCTATCGCCCATGAAAGCTCCACACAGGTTGTGCATCGTCTGCTCGCCGTCGGCTCCGCGCATCGTGAACGTACTCGTCTCGTGGCGCTGATGGAAGTAGCACGGTGTCTCGGGCTGAATCGAGGCCTCCACCGTCCGCCTCAACGCCGAGAAGGTAGAACAGCCGAAAGCATTCGCCATATCTTCCTTTGCTGTGACCGTCGAGACTCCCAATCCTCGTAGTCGCCACAGCAAGGCCTCCTGACAAAGAAGCGCTCCCTCACGACTGCGGCCGAGGTGATAGCCGTGCTCACGATCAGGCACAGCGTCGGGAACTCCACGGCCCAGCTGAGCTTTGTACCACAGCACTCCCATACGACACAGACCGTGAATGTACCGCCTCGCTGCGAACCCTTCCTTACTGTTGTGCTTGTCCAGTCCAGTGGCCCGTGAATGATGCCATACGATAGGCGTCCGTCGCACTCGCCGTATGCGATGAAAGATCTTCTGCAACGCCTTCAAGCTCCGCTCGTTCGAGACCGCCCCCTCAGCCTCGATACCAAGGCCACGACGATCACCCGCCAGTCGATGCCGAGGGACGAACTGAGGACGAGGGAGAGGCCTATCTTCATCCTCATCTTCGACACCGTCACCGTTCTCACGTCGGCGTTGCTTGCGATGCGAGCCGTCGAACCTCCGAGTGGGGTCGAGCACAATCATCAGCAGCTCCGACGGCACCGAATGCAAGGGGGCCGCCTTGCGCCGAGCCGCTCGCTCTGCCAACGCAGTAACCTCGGCCAAGTCGTCTCGCCCAAGTTCGACATGCAAGAAGTTGTCGCTGCCATACGGCTCAGGCCTAGGGAGGTCGCCCAGCAAGCAGCTCTGGTACTCGGCAAACTCAACGGGCACTGCAGAGAACCCTCCAGCACAACCAGGCCCACTGAAATACTCACGAATCTCATCCTT